TGTATTTTATTAGTCTACTTCTGTGCACTGGAAATCTATTCTAAATCTACCTACTTACATTGGTGTAACAACTTGATCTGTGTTTTGGGGAGAGAATTTGAGAACCATGCAAAACTTAAATTTCATGCTTCCACAGCTCTGCAAATCAAATATACAAGAATGTGTTAACTTACACGACTGAGCAAATATTCCATCAGAGTCCAAAAGGTTTGAATAGACATAGCTGAACATTATTAAATTCTGTACCAAAAAAAAAAAAGCGCTACTTGAATACCACCTGGAATTGCTAATAAATAAGATGGTTCACTTTGGGTCTTCTATTTTGCTTTTGTAGCATGCCTTAAAAGCAATTACTATTCCATTACTGTTCACACAAGAGAAAAATTACCAGCTTGTAATTTAGAGGCAAGTGGAACAGACAGAAGAAAATGGAGTCACCCACATAGTTTCCAAGAAGCAGCAGACAGCAGCCTAAATGTTCAAAAGACACACGTTTATTGCACCAAACAATAATCCAGACATGTCTTCATGTCTATTCATGAAAAATAATAATCAATGAAAAGTAGCGGGGGTGGGGGGAGTGAATGATGGAAAAAGACAATTGGAAGAGGCAGGAGAGAATGTCTTTTAAACCTGAATTATTATTTCTGGTCCATTAAATTATTCAAATCCAAATGAAAACTGCGGGTCTCCACAGAACTATGTCAAAAACTAGCCATAACTCAGTACTATCCACAGGGAGACTAAAGAAAATCTATACATTTAACTGATAGTCTAAGAAAATTGGCTGTAGTTTTATGAACATATTTTTACAAAATTCTCACATTTTATCAGACCTATGGCATGACTATTAATATGCTTTTAGACAGGGAGAAATAAAATGCAAGGAACACATTTCAGGTAAAATAATCTTTTTATTCTACACCTAATGAAATCTTCTGGATTTCTTTGCTTTGAAAAGATAATTACCCTACACGAAGGAACTATATCAAGGGTAACAAGAAAGGTAGATCTTTTGTCTCCTTTCAGGAAACATACAGAATTTACTGTTGGGGGTAAAGGAAGAGGTGCTAACATTGTGAATTTAAATATTCTTTGGATTATAGCTCCAATAAGCTTCATGTAAAGGGGGGAGTTTATGTTTCAGAAAAGGAGCAAGACAGAATTAGGCCTCAACTCCTCCACCTGTCTAGCACACAAATAGCTTAACAGCACCCAACAAAAAATCCAAGCAAAGGGCCTGTTTAGTTCACTGCCTGTCAGAGCATCCTCAGGACGCAGTCTCATTAACAGAGTCCTGCCCTGAGCTCCTTACATGTTTCAAAGTTGGCCTGTCTTCCAGTCTTACCTCATTAAATTTAAAGTTAGAAATTTTAAAGTTTTTGTTCTTGCTTGGAGAGTGCTATTTTTTAACCTTTCAACTGATTTGCAAAGGTGAAAGCAATTTCACCTGAAAAGCATCAGCTTGAAACTCAGGAGAGCTTGGAAGGTTTTCCAGAAAGGAACAGAAATCTGATCAATAGCATTATTGAAAATATGACTGGAAGCAGACTCCCATTTATCTATAGTTGTTGCTTTTATTAAAGCAGTTTAAATACTTCGCAAATAAGCTTTTCCAGAGAGCTAGATGAATAGGGTCACAGGCAGGTGGATTACCAGGGATCCATCGGTGCTGCAGGAAGAGCAGCAGTTGCTGAGATACTGGGAACCTGGAAACAAAACACCGACCACTGTTTCCTCCAAAGGCCAGCCCAGTTTCTGTGGCTGCAACTCACACTGAGTTTCATTTGCAAATGAATTTGGTTGTTAACGTCGGATTCTTTCAATGCAAATATTTCTTTCCAGGTGGCACAACTCAGTTGAAAAGGTAGGGTGAAAATTAGTTAGCTGTATGGAAGAAGCAAGCACCATGCCAGTTACCACAGAGAAATGATTGAACATGGATTGCCTGTTGCGCCTTTAATTTAATTTGGAGACCTTTCATCTTTTACTTCCCTTCATTTGCAGCCAATGCTTAGTGAGCTAATTTGTACCTGGTTCATTTTCTTCCTTCTATCTTATCTGCATTTACATCAACCAAGGAAATTAGAAGCACTATGAATAAAAGATGAAGCCTGACTTGGGACATTCTTTCCGTAAGTACTGTGAATTACTTAAAAACTAATTTGTGTGTGTGCACATACACAGGGCTGAGATACAGACTGCGGCCCTACATCATCCCCGATTGGCATCTCCCCTTCCCCCAAGGAGCTTCAGTGTTTAGGTGTTTTATCTGGTCCTACCTTTTCTCTGGGAGAACAATGTCTACACTGTAATCCACACAGAATCACTAATCCTAGAACTAGTTTAGGGTAGGTCATCCCATTAATGCACAAAACTAAGGACGCATACATTTCACGAATCTGACATTTTTAGAGTTCAATACTGCTTGCCATACAAGGAAAACAGTGTGTGGTAAAAAGGAAAACTGAATGTCCTGACATATATGCATGGTGAACAGATGCCTACTCATTCCAAACACACTGTGTGGGAGGGAGAAGGGATGATGTTAAACAAAAGGACTAGTCATAAAACTACTGTTTTAGAGGGACCTCTAGAAGCTACAGAATTTAAATTCTAAGTGCATCATGCATATTGTGCTTTAAAAAAATTTGTTTCTGGCCCTGTCAGTTTTGCTCAATGGACTGAGTATCTTCCCATAGACTGGGAGTTCCGGTTCGATTCCCAGTTGGGGCACATGCCCAGGTTTCAGGCTTGATTCCCAGTAGGGGGCGTGCAGGAGGCAGCCAATCAATGTAGCTCTCACATTGATGTTTCTCTCTCTCACTTACTCTCTAAAAAAAAAAAAAAAAAAAAAAAATCAATAAAAACATATTTTTAAAAAATTGCTTCTGTTGTATATTTTGTATACTTTGCACTTCTCCATTAAAAAGACTGCACATGCTCTTAAGTTTATTCTCATTATTTCATTACTTCCAACTGTATACCATTTTAGTGTTTTGCTTTTTCCTTTTATAGTTTCCTCTGGCCAATACTACTTTTTTCTCTTCACCCTCTCCTTTCTTCTATCTTCTTCCTTTCTTTTTTTCCCATGGACCACTGGGGGGAAAACAACCTACTGGATTCCTCTCTTGCTGCTTAATACCCTCCACCACCAAGCCTTACTTTCCATTTGCGCAGCATCAAAGGAAGACTGTTCTGAATCGTCTCTCTGCCTGTGGTGCCAGCCGGTGCCCTCATCTAACACCTCACACAACAGGCTAGCAGCTGGGAATAATCTGAAAATCATCCCCCCTCCACAGCCCAGCCCCGGAAAAGGTTAATTAATAATGACGTGCATTAGTTTACACACAGACCCCATTTTCACAGGAAAGGTAACTTCCAAGTTGTAGGAGAAAAGTGGGTTTAAAATGATGGCACACTGACATGCAAACGTCTCCTGGGCTTCAGAATACAAACTATGTCTTTGGGGCGAGCGAGTCCCCAAACAGGATCAAAATAAAAGCCCAACTTAAAAACTCAGATGATATCTCTAATCTTGGCTATAATAAAGACTACACCATGCATTTATTTCTTCTGAAGAAACATGGACAGAAAGCCCTACATCCTGAAAGGATGGAGAAGAAAAGAGAGAAAGCAATTTCTGGTCCTTTTATTCATGAAGAAGGAGAGGATGAATAGAAATAACGGTAGCAATTGTCCTTTAGAAATGGATTTTTAAAAGCTACATAGGCAGAAAAATTAAACTGGAAGTGTACAGAGTAGCTTTGTCCTGAGGTTAAGAACACCAAGCAGATACTAGGATGAAAGTGTGTGGGGCATGTATGACTACCAGACACAGATTGTCCAGTTTACCAGCGGGAGGCGGAGGGTGATGGAGTCACAGAGGCCGGGTATCAAGTAATTTGGGGTAGAGAAAACCAATGGTCCCACTGAAAAGAATCCAAGATTTTTTCAGTTGTATTTGTGTATGAAGAAGAAAACCGACAAAACCACGTAACGCAGTTCTTAGTTGCAGAGCACACACACAGGCTGCAAAATACCAGCCTCAAGAAGTAACACCTGTTCTAACCCGGTGCCAGCTGGTTGTGCGCGTGTGTGGCCTTCCAAGGGAAAAGAGGGCTATCTCAGCAGCTGGGGGCCAGATGCACTCAGGGCCTCGAGGCGAGCACCAGGATGGAATGGGACCGTGCAAGAATGGCCTGGATAACTCACAGAAAAGAGAAGCCTGCGAGAAAGGCCGAGAAAAGGAACCGGACGTGCAGCTGATGGCTGCAAAAGGACCCAACAGTCTTTTCCACGAGGCAGAAGAGTCCCAAGTCATTTGCCAAAGGGTTTCCTTGGAAAAGAGGTAGTCTGCAGAGTCGCAAAGGGACTTTGTGGGGGTGGGGAAAGAGGTAGAGGGAGGACCCCCCCCCCCCCGCCTTTGAAGGCATTGTTTTCACTAATAATCACTTCGGTGCCAGCGGACTGTGCCAGAGAAATTTGTCTCCGAGCTTTTATAAATAACCCTCTCCATGGGGTTCTAGAATCCGAATCACACCTGTGTGCACTGAAAGGCTCCCCCGGGAGTACACCAAGCCGCCCCCACTGCTCAGGGTCGCTCGCTGATCCCGGTCTCTGGCAGCCTGCCTCCCCGAGCGCCCTCTCCAACCGGGCTCCATCCTCAGGTCACCCAGAGCCTGTTCCTGGCGATCACTCCCGCGTCCCACTGGCTACTCCCTCGGCCCAGTCTCGGGGCCAGGCAGACGGCAAAGTCCCAGGCCAGACTCTCACCCTTGAGTCACAGTGGTCCTCATCCCCCCACCCCAATAACCACCCCTTGGTAAGCGAAACACGCCAGGGCTGGCAGAGGCTGTGGTCTGCCCGCGAGGAGCGCTCCACCTGCAGACTCAAAAGAGTGCACGGAGAAGTGAAAACTCCAAAGTGCAGCCGCAGCCCGGCCGACCCCCGAGGCCCCCTCCCGCCCTGGCCCCCAGCCGGGGCGGGCCGGCCACTACCTCTTGGAAGAGCTCCAGACTGTAGGTGTTGTCGTCGTCGGCGAAGAAGAGCACGCCGGGCTGCGCGTGCTGGTGCTGGTGCCTCTGGCGCAGCCAGGCCAGGCCGGCGTTGCGCTGCTCGGTGGCGCGCGGCAGGCCCGGCCGCTTGTAGCGCCGCGGCGTGGGCACGTGCAGGTGCGTGCTGGGCAGGCCGGCCCGCGCCAGGAAGCGGCTCACCAGCTCGCTGCGCGTCGCCGCGTCCTCCACCAGGATCCAGTGCAGCTGCGCCACCTGGCGGAAGGTGTTGGCCAGGCGGGTCAGCTCCGCTTTCTGCACCGGGCGGCTGTAGGTGGGCGTGATGGCATAGATGGTGGGCAGAGGGGGCTCCGGCTGCCGCTGAGGCTGTGGCCGCGACTCGTTGCGCTTCTCGGAGCCGCGCCCGGGGCCGCCCCTGCGGAGCGGGAGTCTGGCGCCCCTACGGCCCAAAGCGTAGGGAGAAAAGTAGGAGCGCGGGGTGAGCGGGGGCGCGGGCCTGCGGGTGTCCACGTCGAGCATGATGATGACGATTAGGATCCAGGGCAGGAGGATGAAGAAGCGGCTGAACAGCATGGACTTCATGGTGCACTCTTCCCTGGCCTCTTGGACGCCCCTAAGAGGGGCCAGCCGAGGGACCCCAGCGCGCAGTTTGGACCGCGGCGGCGTCCGCACTCAGGAACCCGCGGTCCGCGCGCTCTCCATGAGGTCGGGGTGCGCTGCGGAGTCCGGGAGCCGCGGTTTCAGCGCCTGGGCGTGGGGGTCGGCGCAGGTGCCAAGGAGGTAGAGCTACGGGGAGTGCAGGCGGGCGGGCAGGTGCTGCCACGCACTCCGGGTGAATCGGCGGGAAGAGGACGCGGTCCAGCCGCGCGCTGCTAGCCCCGGAGTTGTGCGGATCCCGGGAGGACGGTGATCCCCACCGCGCTCTTTCCGGAGTGGGAGCCGGGAGCCGCCCCCCGACCCGCGGCCGCCTCGCTGCTCTTGTCCCGCGGCGCTGCGGGCACGGGGACTTCAACCGCGGGCTCCCCAGTGCGCTCTCCGGGCACCTTCGAGGGCTGGAGGCAGGCGCTGAGGGTTTCCCTTCGTCACATCCCAGCCGGGGCGGCAAGGACCGGGAGGGACGCCGGAGATGCAGTGCCCCAGCTCCGTTCGCGCGCTGCAGCGGAAGCCTGCACTCCTGTCCCTAGCTCGTGTGTTGTCAGAACCTTTCCCGGCTCCGGCAGCAAGATCCCAAACCAAGGAAAGAAAGAAACAGCGAGGGGGCGGGGGCGCTGCGGACTCCGGCGTCCTCCCAGTCCTCCCGTGGGAAGACAGCAGCACTGCTACTGGCGGAGAGGGGCTGCGAGAGGCAAGTGGGGAGGAGGCCCTGTTTTCCGCCGGGTCTGGCGCTGACGGCCCCGCAAGCTAGCTCCGGAGGCGGCTGCTTCACCGCCCAAAGAGGAGCGAGGGGAGGGTCCCCGAGGGGCGCACGACCTCCGGGAGCGGGTAGATGCTCGATAGCTCATCTCCGCGCGCTCCCGGCTTTCTAAAACCCTGCAAGGTCTTTGGAGATCAGCCGGGAAAACCCATTCACGTGCAGAAAACTCGGGAGACTAGGGTGTCGAGTGAGAGGAGGAAAGGCGGGAGAGGGCAAAAGATTCCTCTCCGGCTCCCAGCTGCGGGGTTGATCTGCTTGCTGGGGGGGTATGAACAGCGGCAACAAAAAGCCTTTCACTGAAGCACTGGGGGACCCAGGGGGCCGCGCACCTAGGTGTTTGGCATGTGAGATAGTCCTTAAGAAAGAATCAATCGGAACGGTTGCTGCCTGACTGCAGTTGGATGGGGGAGGGTGTGTGTGTGAATAAACTCCACCTGAATACGTTTAACTTGTGTTTCTTAAATAATTTGGAGTCACAATCACTTGCAGTTCGCTGCCAATTTAACCCAACGATCCTTTCAAGGAGGCCTGGGAAGTAGAAACACCTCCATTCTTTTGGATGGGGAAGCCGAGGCTCAGTGTTTAAAGTGCTTTCTCGAGATCAGTGGCAAGTAGCCAGGTGAATATGGAATGTGCGCCCCCCGGGTCTAGCCCTTGGCTTCCCCTGTGCGCAGCCTGCCAAAATCAGCCCCACACAGCCCAACCCGGAGGGTCTGGCCCTCCTACATGTAAACATCGTGTCATCGAAATCAGAGTGTACGATGACGTGTAGAAGTGTGACAGTGTCTGGAAGACGACGAATAAACAATTGGTGCTCAATTGGGACGTTTTCTAACTGGAGGGCCTACTAGCTGAGTCCCTGGCTGCCTGTAATGTACCAGGAAGAAGGAAGAGGGGCCATGCTTCACAGTGACGTTCCCGGGAGGTGCTTGCAAAGCAGCAGGAAAGCATCCCCCCACCCCAACCTATGATCATTTCTGAGCACATCTTCCTTTGGTTGTCTGTCTTCTGCTGTCTTGCTCACAACTAAATTACCGAGGTTGCACTTTCTGAGTGAGGGCTGATGCCACTCCAGCCTTTCTGAGGCTCCTGGATGTCTTGGTCTAACCCTTGCTGCTCCAGCCTATCACCAGGCCTCGGGGCACCTGTGAATTTCCCTAACTTTCCCGAGAGTGAAATGTATAGATTTAACAGCCCCCCTATCCCTACCCCAACTCCAACTGGGAAAGAGGCAGCCTTCTGTCCTGACCTCCCTGTATCGCCCACAGCTCAGACTTTAAACTGCAGATTAGTACATCCTAAACAGAAAATGAGACATCCTTTAGACCCCTTCACATATCCTAGGCTAATCAAATGGGCCTGGGAATCCAGGTGGGGCAAACGTAGATTTACAGTTGTATGTGAAACAGTTTCTTGTATTATTTATTATTGTATTATTTTCCATACCAACAACTATAAACCTACTTTTGCCCCTCCCTGTATAACAAAACCTTGAAAAAAGGTGTCCTGCTTAGTTAGGCCTGGGGTGCGCCTGCTGAAATCAGTGTCAGCATCTTGGGGTAGGAGGCAGGGAAGAGAATTTGTAAAGGCTTTTTCTCCCCCTTTATTGATTTTAGAGAGAGAGTAAGTGAGAGGGAGAGAGAGATAGAAACAATGAGAGAGAACATCAACCGGCTGCCTCCTGCACGCCCCCCACTGGGGATCGGGCACACAACCTGGGCATGTGCCCTGACCAGGAATCGAACCGGTGACCTCTTGGTGCATGGGTCGATGCTCAACCACTGAGCCACACCGGCCAGACAAAGCTTTTCTCAAATAGTAGAAAGCAGCGCATGCCCATGTCCACTTCCCAAAGATTAACCAAGTCTCCTTCATCCTGTCGGAAATGTTAATGTAGTTGAAGAGAAATGCCCTGTGTGTTAACTGGAGTAAAGCTCAAGTGGTTACTGAATTATATTAAAGAGTCACTAACCTTATTAGTAGGGAACTCTTGGTTATTCCCACCACACCATCAAATCCATTTCCCAATTGCTTCTTCTCCAGCATCCAGGGCTATTCAGAGATGGGGTACTTTCAAAATCAATCAAATTCTGGAATTTGAGATTTCACAGGTGTCATTCAACACAACACATAACTAGCACATCCGCATCCACATCCTGGAGGTCACTTGGTCTTTTCTACTGTTCTTAGTCAGTGTTTGCATCCAGATTTTCCTCATTCCATCATCCCGTGGGGGCATCACAGTTTTTCAGTCAGGCAGACTTGAGTTTGATTCCCGGCTGGGCTACTTAGGCAACTTTGGAAAGTCAATGAGCCTCAGTTTCTCTTCTGGAGAATGGAGTCAATGATATATACTTCTAGGACATCCTGTAAGGACTAAATAGCATGTTAGGTAAAGTATTTTGCAGAGGAGCTGGCATTGTGAAGGCAGACAGTAAATGGTTTTTAAATACAGGCCCAGCCGGTGTGGCTCAGTGGTTGAGCATTGACCCATTCACCAAGAGGTCACTGGTTCGATTGCCAGTCAGGGCACATTCCCAGGTTGTGGGCCAGATCCCCAGTAGGGGGCATGAAACAAGTGGCCAATCCATGTTCTCTCTCATCGATGTTTCTATTTCTCTCTCTCTCCCCCAAAATAAATAAATAAATAAATAAATAAATAAATAAATAAATAAATACAGGTAGCACAATTAGTGTCTCAAAAATGTGCACCCACATCTTTTATGATCAAATCTCAGTAAAGCTATAGAAATACAAAAAGTATTAAGAATGTCCATTGGAAGCATAAAACGAGGGTAAAACACGTTTTTAAAAAATATGCTTTTGCCCAGCCTGTGTGGCTCAGTGGTTGAGTGTGGACCCAAGCACCAGGAGGTTGCTGGTTTGATTTCTGGTCAGGGCACATGCCCAGGCTGTGGCCAAATCCCCAGTGTGTGGGGGGGGGCATGCGGGAGGCAGCCAGTCAATGTTCTCTCTCGTCTATGTTTCTTTCTCTCCCTCTCTCTCTAGAATCAATAAAGAAAAATAATTTATATTAAAAAAATATGTTTTTTTTTTTTTTAGAGAGAGAAACATTGATGTGAGAGAGAAACACTGATTGGCTGCCTGCTGCATGCCCGCTCTCAGGGATTGAGCTTGAAACCCGGGCATGTGCCCTGACCAGGAATCAAACTTGGACCTCTCAGTCCATACGATGGACACTCAATCCACTGAGCCATACGAACCAAGAGAGAATAAAACACTTTTAGGTACAAAATTGTATAATATTTAGAGTTTGTCAGATACTGGAATGGAAGCAACTCTTTTAAATGGAAGCTTGTAGAAATGTCACTTTTATGGAGCATAATCACTGGGCAGCTCTAGTACTTTTCCATGTAGTTTATGATATTTTTACATAAAACAGTTTGAATTTGATCTGTGGCTGGTAATGAAGGTTGGTGGAAGTCACTAGAGCAATTAAAATGATTACCTAACTTCAGAGCTTCTGTACATCCTTTCAGTGTTTATTTTCATTTAATCTCTCTAATTATTTGTGTAACAAATGAGCATTGCTTCATTCGTACTAATGAAGCCTTAGATTGCTGGCATCAGCCACTGCATTTCAGCGTTCAGTTGTTGTTCTCAAATAAATAAACAAAGGTAAAAAAATCCCATCTGGGGAGTTCACAAAAAACACACTGTATAATCACTAAACATTTACATTTTGTCTTGATGAGTAATATGCAACTGTAACTTTGGCAGCAGAAAGATTGCAGCATGATTAGTACACTGTGTAGAACTGATCCTATCTGACATTTGAGCCTGGGGTTCTGCTAGTGTGACTAAATCAACCTTCAAATGAGCATTTGGGGACATCCTTGGTATTCTTAGTCAAGTAAGAAAGAGAACAGGAAAAAAATATATACACAATTAAGTATTTGTAAATATTTATATGATAATATGATGGGTATGCAAATCAGGTTGCAAAAAAGAATCAGAACTAATTCATGTACAAGTAATAATGTAATGTGGAGATATTGATCATCAATACTTCCATGCCTGTGAACATAAATACTTTCTGTTAAAATATCAAACACAATTATGTGAAAGGGTGATATCAAAATAAATAATTCTAATGGCCCCAAATTCTAGGGATACATGACAGTTTCACTGATAACTGTCAGAAAAA